GGTTTAACCAAATATATACTAAGGATTTTATGAGGTATCCCCAAAAAGGAACTACAATGGAGACTGGTACTAACTTACTATAATGAGTATTCCTGCCCCTGTGTTTCCCAATTACGTCACGGGCCTTACAGCTTGCGGCCACTCGGGAGTTTTTGTCGGGAACTTGGGAGGACATTCGCACGACCCTCGACGAATCCACCCTCAACGTCAATAAGATCCTCTGAGACCCGTTAAAAAGTCACTATGGCCCTAACTCGTGAGCCCTTCGCTGCGAATCCGGGCAGGTTCATGATCCTTCGCGTCTTGCACTGACGCACTAGGCCCTCCCTGTCCTGGTGCCCAAACCCATGGTCGCATCCCTTGGTGCGAGATGCGACTGACCTCCTTCGTCGGTGAGACGTCGATGATCGTCTCCTCAGGGTCCCGTGGATCTCTCAACAGAACCGTGAGTGGCTCTAGCAGACAACGGCTTGACACACCGGACACCCTGCCGGGAGCACAAACTCCCCAGCCATATTCAGCCAGTGGTATGTGCAGTGCGATGTGCATTTGTTGTTCGTTGTTGGTTGTATGACTACGATCGTGTGTCATGCAACTTTGTTGTGGTCAAGAGCTTCCTCTGTCACGAATGGGAGCGATTGTAGCAGCTGTGCCCCCTAGGCTCCCGAGAGGGACGGGGTTGAGGAGTTCACAAGACCGAACATGGTGTATTCACAATACTGTGTGGATGTTAAGTCACCATGGCCACTAGTGGCAAGATTGGGGGTTTCCGAAAATAGGGACCCCCAAATAGTACCCTAAATAGTAGGATCCTCATTATAAGGACCCCAAAATAAGGTACCCCTTATTTTCGGAAACTCCCATTATCATCAGGATGCCTATCGCGGCCTTGGCGGGCGGAGTCGCCACGCCGAAGCCGCGAGGTCTTGCGAAGGCCACTGCAGCACCTCCCAGGGCTTTTCAATAAGGCCCTACCTATAGTCTCCATTGTAGTTCCTTTTTTTTGGTTTAACCAAATATATACTAAGGATTTTATGAGGTATCCCCAAAAAGGACCTACAATGGAGACTAGAGGAAGGCCCTAAAGCACGCAGCTGACAAGGTTCCGGGTTTAGGGACTGAGGACTTTGGGGTCAGAGCTTCAGGATCTTCAGGGAGTAGGGACTTGAGGCTTTATGGATTTGTGGATTGATGGGCTGCCCGGCTCTTCGCAAGGGTTGAGGAAACTTTCTTGTGAGAAGCCTGAACAGCTCATTTCTCTCTTCCTGGCCGGAGCGCTGGAAAGCAGGGCTTCAGATAAAAGACCGCACTCCACGTTCGACACATTCAAGTCTCCAGTCTCCATGTTTAAGCAGAAGGACAAGCATGTAATCCTGCTCATGTTCGCGCGGGGAGGGGTGGAAGGCAACACTTCTCCAATCGTCACACCAACATTCTGAACGGGGCCTCCGATCAGCGCCACTAGCAGCACAGAGTGCCAGTTGCAGCTCGATATGTGGCCGCGCCATGGGCGACTACCTGGACAGTAAAGCGAAGTCGCATTCCGCATGCAACCGCTTGCCCGGCTGAAATGCCCAAGCTCCAAAGCCAAGCAAAGAGTGCTTCATCCTCGGACGGAGAAACCCCAAATATCTGAACATGTGTCGCCAAAATACTTCCCTGCCGGCAGGCTCCGGGCGAAGTGCGGGCTGAATGCCGGTCAAAACTTTCAGAAGGGATGGGTCAGGTCGTTGCGATTGCGAACGCCTGGTCCTTGAAATGTCCGAACACTACCACAACATGCTAAAGCCTTACCCCGCACTCTCAACGTTCTAGCTTGCGAACCGGCCAACACTTTCTGCAGCGATGCCACTTCTGCGGCCAAAACTCGCCATCACCGTGGGAGTATGGCAAAGCGACGGCCGGTGGCCGGCGTGGTTGGTAGGATATTCTGCTTGATTTCACTCTAAGCTTTGTGTGCTGGTCGTGTTTCGGACATACTACATCATACTGGAGCAGCTTATCGGCCAGGTCCATGTGGAAGGGCACCGCTGGCTCAACAAGAATATCCCCTTCGAAGTCACATATCCCGACGTATCTTGGTGCCAAACACAATTACTGGCTTTGTTGGTGGGGTCATGATCCGACATGGTGCCTGCGAGCCTGCAGCGCTATGTTCCAAGCCACCGTCCGTGGGCAAGGGGGCGAGTTGTTAAGAAGGCGTCCTTCTTCCACCGGTTTCCGGCTGAGAGATCGTGCTGGGCAATAGCGGTGTACCCCCGAACACCCTTTAGCCTGAAGCGGCGGATGCCCAAGTCCTGTTATCTTGAGAGTCCTATCGGGAGGTTCAGGGCTTACGACCTATGGGGTGCCCGATCACTTGTGTCTTTTTTTTTGGGTTCACTTGTGTCTTTTTTTTAGGGTTCGCTTGTGTCTTTTTTTCTGGGTTCGCTTGTGTCTTTTTCCTCCTTCGGAAGCAACAGTCTCGAACGAGAGGTGCGTT